ATTTAAGCCACCGGGTCCGAGACGCGAACCACAGTCGACTACGTGGGAGTCCAACAACATAGCCATTACACTAACTGCTGGTTCCCTGCCTATCATTCTTCAAGGCCTATTTCAAGTGCCAGCTTCTCAAGAAAGTTCTTTCTTATTCCTTCTCCTCATGCCAAGGTGATGTCTTCTTTCTTTGCATCATGGAACACTTGACAGGCTTGTCTTGGGACAACTATTATCTTCCTTGTACAATATTTAGGTGTGTAGACAATATCCTGAAATCCTTAATCACAAACCTGGAGGTTCCTGTTGAACTTGGGAACGAAGGGGTTTGAGGAACAATGTGTCCTTGCCAAGCAGGGGTCTATACTGAGGGAACAGGGGCAAGAGACAGAAAAAGTAGGCTGGGGTCTGACTGGACTGAGAGGAGTTGAAGAGACTTGTCCACAATTATCTCCAGACTAGACCCTCCTTCTCTTTGATTAAGTGTCCTTTACATACTAGGTACTTAGTATAGGTTATTGAGCAGAATATTATTTTTGGAAGATATTCTTTTGGTGGTATCTCTCAAAAGTTTTCAGGTGAACTGGCAATTCCACTTCTGCAAATCTATCTTACAGATACACTTATGCAATAGGGCAAAGGTATACCCTAGGTGCATATGTACCAATATATTTCTTGCTACATAATTTGATTTATTTTTTCAAACTTCTTTAGAATTGTTATTATTCATTATTATTGTTATTATTCAATTTGATGAGAGAGAGAGAGAAAGAGAAAACAAGCCACTAGGTCTGGGATTCAAACCATGGCTGGCCATGTGGAAGTCCAGCGTCTCAACTACCACGCCACTTGCCTGACCCAAACTACATAATTTTAGTAGTCACAGTGGGTAACAATATACTATGTACCGAACTGGAGTAGCTAAGTAAGTTACGGTACACCCATATTTACACAGTACTATTCAGTCATGAAAAAGAATGAAGTAGATCATCGTACTGATATGGAAATATGGCCAATGGTTCATTGGCAAGTTGAGAAAGGAAGATGCAGAATGGTACGTATAGTATGGTCCCACTTTGGTAAATAACTATGTGTCCACATATACATTATATGACAATGTTTGTGTGTGTGTGTGTGTGTGTGTGTGTGTGCATGAATATAGACAGGTGGGTAAAGATGGAAAAAGATGTGGGTAGATAGAAATAAACATGGAACAATAACAATGATTACCCTTGGTCAATAGGGATGGGGGGAGGAAAAGGACATGCTCACTTTTTACTTCGATCACTTCATTGTGGTTTGAGTTGTATTTTTTTTTATTTGCCAGAGGGCATGTGTACTTGCCAGAGAGAGAGATAGAGAGAGGGGAAAGTGAGAAAGCCCCGCCCAACCCCCCGCAGGGGTGCAGTCCTTTCTCTTCCATCTCTCCTTCCTTTCAGAATTTTGGTCAGACATGCACACATGCTGATGTGTTTCAAGTTGCCTGGTCTGGGCTTACTGCACAGTTGGCCATATAGCATTTAGCTTCCTCAACTGCCATGCCATCGGCTGGCCCCAGTGTGGTTGGAATCTTTAAAAACGTAATTTTGGAACCAGCAGTTAGCGTAATGGCTATGTCTCTGAACTTCCATGTAGTCGACCGTGGTTGGAGTCCCAGACTCGGTGGCTTAAACTAACGCCGGGTGCATGTGCGTGTGTGCCCAAGAATGGAGGAGAAGGGATCGCAGAGTGGCCATCCCCACTGGGGGATGATTTCTCGCTTTCTGTCTCTCTGTCTCTCTCTGTCTTTCTGGAGAGTGCACGCACCCTATAGCAAAAAAAAATCTCTCCAAAAAAAAAAAAAGAAAAAAAAGGTAATTATTTTTATATGAATTAAAAAATAAAAAGAAAAAGAAACTTTTGCACAAAGAGGGGGAAACTGGGACCAGCAGATGGAGTAATGGTTATATCACTAGATTCCCACATAGTTGAACACAGTTTGAGTCCTGGACCCAGAGGCTTAAAACTCAAGCCGGGCATGGGTGCATGTGTGCCAAAACCCCCAGAGGAGAATGGAGAAAGGACTGCAGTATAACCACCACCACCCCCGGAAGTTGGTTTCTTGCTTTCTGTCTCTCCAGCAAGTGCATATGCTCTATAGAAAAAATCGCTAAGAAAAAAAAAAAGAAGAAGAAGAAGAAGAAGAAAGGAGGAAGTAAGATGGGGGAGGTGACTTGTTTTACATAACTTAATTTATCTTGGATTCTAATTAATTTGCATGACTCTTCTCGTATGTCACCTTGGGTCGAGGTACAACCTTACCTGTTCTGGTAGAAGGCCACATTTGGCTGCTACAGCTGTGATACAAGATTCTGTCACCAGAGTTCCTTGTGGGAAGCCAAATCCACGGAAGGCCGTGTTGGATGGTAAATTTGTCATGCACGCACGGCCTCGGAACCTGAGGTTGCGGATTTTGTAAGCGTTTTCCATCTTGAGTATAAGAAACTCTGTTACCTAAAGTAAGAGGCGATAGTCACGTATGTTGGGCAACACTTTCTTTCTTTTTTCTAAAAGTCAAGTGCAGCTTGCATTGGTCATGGTATTCAACAACATGGGAAATGTGCTTCATCGAGACCCAGTAGAGGGACCAGCAGTTACTATAATGGCTATGTCGCTGGACTCCCATGTAGTTGACAGTGGTTCGCGTCCCGGACCCGGTGGCTTAAAACTCATGCCGGGCACGTGTGCGTGTGTGCCCAAGATCCAGAGAGGAGAATGGAGGAGAAGGGATTGTGGCATGGCCATCCCCCTTGGGGGGTGATTTCTCACTTTCTGTCTCTCTGGCTCTCTCTGTCTGTCTGGCGAGTGCACATGCCCTATAGCAAAGACCTCTCAAAAAAAAAAAAAAAAAAAAAAAGACCCAGTAGAATCTGTGTCTGTTCAAGGTCAAGGTCCTTGCTGGGTTCCTTTGCACATACCATCTCCGAGTCGTCCAAGGTGCATCCTCCATTAATGTAGCACTCAACGTCCATAGCTTTGATCCGCCCATTGTTCATGAACCCCACCTGTCACCAAATGACAGACATTTCACTGACATTTTTATTTATGTATTTGTTTATTTACTTTCTAGCAAGCTTGTATGCTCACCAGAGAGAGAGACAAGAAATGAGAGAAAGAGAGAGAGAGAAGAAAGCACCCCTCATACAATCTTTTCTCCTTTACCTTTCCCTCCTTTTGGGGTTTTAGGTTCTTATGCACACATATCTGGCATATTTCCCAGTCTCTCTCTCTCTCTTTTTTAAAAAAAATTTTTCCCATAAGGCACATGTGCTCACCAGAGAGAGAGAGACAGAGGGAGACAGAGAGAGACAGAGAAAGCGAGAAATCAACCCCCAGGGAGGATGGCAACACCACAATTCCTTCTCTTCAAGTCTCCTCTCAGGATTTTGGGCATGCACACAGACACGTGCCTGGCATGATTTTCAAGTTGCCAGGTCTGGGACTCAAACTGGGTTTGACTTGGTGAGAGTCCAACTCCTTAACCACTATGCCACCTGCTGGTCTGGAGGTATATTTCTCAAGCTGTCATTCTGGGACTACACATGCAAATTTAGCCATGTGGGTGGGATCTGGTTGCCTTAACCACCAGGCCACGCAGCTGGCCCTACCACTGTATTTAACGTGTCCTTGCCAAGTGTGAGCCACAGCTCGGCTACCCCAGCCTGGCAGGATGAAGACACAGACCGCACGTTTGCTCCGTGTGTGCCACGCCTTGCTATTCCCTTGCTGTTCGCCTTTGACCGAGGCAGACCTCTCCTGACCGGGATTTCCTTTCAACATGCAATTTTTTTGGCTTCACTGTCAGTATGGATTTTTTCTTTTCTTTTCTTTTTTTTGGAGAGGTTTTTGCTATAGGGCGCGTGAGCTCACCAGAAAGACAGAGACAGGGAGACAGTAAGCGAGAAATCATCCCCCGTGGGGATGGCCCCAACGCAATCCCTTCTCCTCCATTCTCCTCTTGGGATCTTGGGCACGCACACGCACACACACACACACACACACACACAGAGTGTGAGTTTAAGCCACTGGGTCCGGGACTCAAACTGCGGGCGACTACATGGGAGTCCAGTGACATAGCCATTACGCTAACTGCTGGTCCTGTCAGTACGGAATTTTAAAGTTCTTGCAGGTCTCCTGGTAGATAACTGCCACCCTCTTCTTCCTTACTTTTGGAAGATTCTCCTTTATTTTTTACTGGCATTCTTTCTAATTTAGTGTGTGGATTTTCCTTGTTAAAAGGCTGTGGAGTTCCAGAATGCACTGGAATGAATCGTAGTATATCTAGTTGAGAAAGCCTCTGCAGCCGAGGTCTTAACTAGAGGTGCAGGAATGACTGCTCCTTTTACTAGATGAGGAAGGTGCTTTCTAAGTGGTTATAGGACTTAGCAAATGGAGCTAGTGCTGATGTCACTGTTAGGAAGGATCTTAGCTTGCATTTTTCCCATGTTACTGGTCCCCTCCAGCAACACTGACCATTTTATCTATACAGCCCACACTGAAAAGAAAACTTCCTGTTCTCTATTGTCACTCTACCAAAAGAGGACTGCCCTGGTCCCTCTGCCTTTCTGAAAACAGGGACAAATAAATACAATGGAAGGAACCATACTACTATATAGCTATTATCATCTACTCAAAGAGAAATATTGGATATAAGCCAGAGCAGTCAGGAAGTACAAGAGAATCCACAAATTCAGAATTTACGGTAAGTATACCAAATGTCAGTTCAACTTTTTATGAAAAAAGTACTGCTGGGACCAGCAGTTAGAATAATGGCTATGTTGCTGGACTCCCATGTAGTCGACCGCAGTTCGCTTCCCGGACCCGGTGGCTTAAAACTCAGGCCGGGCGCATGTACATGCATGCCCAAGATCCCAAGAGGAGAACGGAGAAGAAGGGATTGTGGTGAGGGGCAGAAATATTGGATATAAGCCAGAGCAGTCAGGAAGTACAAGAGAATCCACAAATTCAGAATTTACGGTAAGTATACCAAATGTCAGTTCAACTTTTTATGAAAAAAGTACTGCTGGGACCAGCAGTTAGAATAATGGCTATGTTGCTGGACTCCCATGTAGTCGACCATGGTTCGCTTCCCGGACCCGGTGGCTTAAAACTCAGGCCGGGCGCATGTACATGCATGCCCAAGATCCCAAGAGGAGAACGGAGAAGAAGGGATTGTGGTGGGGGCCATCCCCCCTGGGGGCTGATTTCTCGCTTTCTGTCTCTCTGTCTCTCTCTGTCTGGCAAGCACACGCGCCCGATAGAAAAAAAAAATCTCAAAAAAAAAAAAGAACTGCTAAGCAAAATAGTAGCATACATAAGGCAGCAGAGAGAATTCTTAAAGTATTAAATATAAATTTTAAAAGAATTTTGGAAGAATCTCTTTTCATATAAATGTCTATTAGGGTAATTTACAAATAGTTCTGAATAACCAGACACAATTTGGTTTTAGCTATGCTTGAACAAGGATATATACAATATATATAAATATGGAGTATTTCAAAACCTTGTGGGAAAATGGAATTAACGTTTGAGTATATTCTGGTGCAAAACATTCTAAAGCCATGCTGTTTCTTAATATTCTGGTGCAAAACATTCTAAAGCCATGCAGCTTCTTAGTATGCATTTTCCATGAACTTTTTGAAGATCCTACAGCTACTCATATATTATTGTATTGGAAGTGAAATTATATTTCTTTCTTTCTTTTTTTTTTTTTCCTTTCTCTTTTTTGGAGAGTTTTTTGTTATAGGGCGCGTGCACTTGCCAGAAAGAGAGAGACAGAGAGACAGAAAGCAAGAAATCACCCCCCAGGGGGGATGGCTATGCCGCAATCCCTTCTCCTCCATTCTCCTCTCTGGATTTTGGGCACACACGCACACGCGCGGTATGAGTTTAAGCCACCGGGTCTGGGACTCGAACCACGGTTAATTACGTGGGAGTCCAGCAACATAGTCATTATGCTAACTGCTGGTCCCAAATTATATTTCTTTAAAAATGAAATAAAATTAAAATTTTTTTGTATATTTCCCTTTGCATTTATTTATTTTTTAATTTAAAAATTTGTTAAAGAGTGTGCGTGCTTGCCAGAGAGAAGCAGAAAGAGAGGGAAAGTGAGACACTTCCCTCCAGGAGGGCTGGCCATGTTACACTTCCTTGTCTTTCATTCTTCTCTTGAGATTTGGGGCATGCATGCACCAAAAACTGCTGGATTCAGGACTTGAACCAGGCAGTCAGTTATGTGGGATCCACCACGCTATTGGCAGGTCCTAGTTCCATTTATTTATTTATAATCATAATTACCAAGATACTAAGTATTGATAGTCAAACAGTCTCATAACTGTGATATAAAGTCTAATTTAGAATTCAGGTTAAAAAAAAAAGGCTCCAAAAATTACGGTAACACCAGTAACTGCCACACCCCCAGTGAGTGCGTGTTCATTGCTCTTGATTCTAGAAGGCAATAATGCCTGTGACTATGAGTTGTTGTGCATTCGAAGGCAGATGAAAAATTTAAAGGCCAACCTTGGTCCCTTTCTCTCTAATTGTAAAAATTGCAAATGCCAATGGATGAAAGAAAACTGCTGTGGTACGAAAGCAGTGTTTTTAGTGACACAGGGCCTATGCTTCAATAACCAGAGGCAACAACAAAACCAGGCAGGAAATCTAGCTCCGTATAGCATGAGCAGTCTCCAAATACAGCTCGGTTGCTGTGCTTTAGGTTACTTTATTGTCAACTAGATGCCAGCCAACATTTTAATATTGTTTATACTATGTCACAGGAAAATGCAGTGAGCATGATTTGAAACAATGTTAAGTTCCTTAGTTGGTGGATTCTTTTTTCCTATCTGCCCAGAGTTTTGGTGACATTTTCATAATTTCTTGGTGAAAATGCTTGCAAAAAATGATTTTGTGGGCCAGCAGGTGGCATGGTGGTTACAGTGCAGGATCCACATGGCCTCATATATATGGTTCAAGTCCTGAACTTGGCAGCTTGAAAAATGTGCTGAGCATGCATGTGTGCCCATAATTCTGAGGAGGATGGAAGAGAAGGGATTATGGCATGGCCAGCACTCTGGGAGTGCGTTTTCACCTTCCCTTTCTTTTCTTTTTTTACATTCATCAGTTAGTATCCTTTTACATGCCTTTGGTTGAAACATGATTTTAAATTATTCTTATTTTTTTTTTAAAAAACATTCCATTGCTATACACCATTTGGCTTGCAAAGAGAATTTACCCAACATGAAATACACCTCAGACCAGTCCAGTTGAGAATACTAAACATATTATCAACAGGCAAGAAACCATTTCTGTGTTCTACAAATGTCTTGCCTCTCTATTTTTCTCCATGATTTCCTCTCCTAGTCACTTTCCCTTACTTACTCTGTCTCCAGTGCGCAAGTGCTCTACAGCAAAAGAAAAAAAAAGAGAAAGATTTTATAGTTCAAACAGTCAAATTGTTTCTAAATATTTCTCCTGCAAAATATTACTTTTATTTTTCATTTTTTAGTTTGCTATAGGGCACTTTGCTTGCCAGAGAGAGAGAGAAGAACGAGAGAAAGTGAGAAAGAGCCCGCCAGGGGAGGATGGCCACACCACCGTCCCTCTCCTTCATCCTCCTCTCGGGATTTTGGGCATGCATGCACAAGCCTCTGGGTTCTGGACTCAAACTGTGTAGTCAGCCATGTGGGATCCAGTCGCCTTAACCACCATTGGCTGGCCTCAAAATAATACTTTTATAGATAAGAAATTTTGGTATAACAATGTTCATAGCTTTTTCTCAGCTATGCCTTCATTTATTTATTTTGGTCTTAGAGGAGCCATACTTTGTTTCTTCAAGTAATGTTGCATTGGGACCTGCAGTTGGCGTAATGGCTATGTTGCTGGACTCCCGACCATGGTTTGAGTCCCTGACCCGGTGGCTTATTCTCCTGCAAAATATTACTTTTATTTTTCATTTTTTAGTTTGCTATAGGGCACTTTGCTTGCCAGAGAGAGAGAGAAGAACGAGAGAAAGTGAGAAAGAGCCCGCCAGGGGAGGATGGCCACACCACCGTCCCTCTCCTTCATCCTCCTCTCGGGATTTTGGGCATGCATGCACAAGCCTCTGGGTTCTGGACTCAAACTGTGTAGTCAGCCATGTGGGATCCAGTCGCCTTAACCACCATTGGCTGGCCTCAAAATAATACTTTTATAGATAAGAAATTTTGGTATAACAATGTTCATAGCTTTTTCTCAGCTATGCCTTCATTTATTTATTTTGGTCTTAGAGGAGCCATACTTTGTTTCTTCAAGTAATGTTGCATTGGGACCTGCAGTTGGCGTAATGGCTATGTTGCTGGACTCCCGACCATGGTTTGAGTCCCTGACCCGGTGGCTTAAACTTACGCCAAGTGTGTGTGTGTGTGTGTGTGTGTGTGTGTGCCCAAGATTGTGAGAGGAGAATGGAAAAGGGACTGCAGTGTGGTCAACCCCCCAGGGGGTAATTTCTCATTTTCTGTCTCTCTGTCTTTCTGAAGAGCGCCTGCGCTCTATGGCAAAAACCTCTTCAAAAAAATTAAAAAAGTAATGTTGCATTACTTGAAATCATTTTTATAATTAAGCTTCTTTGCAATTACACACTAGATTTATTTAAAGTTCTTCAAAAGAAATGTGTGAATATTCAGGGCTGCCCTGTGGTCTGGTGATTAAGGGATTTGAATCCTACATGACTGACTGTGATTCAAACCCTGTCCTGGACATCTAGAAAAACACATAGGGCATGTGGGCATGTGTGCACACATGTTCGGAATCCCACAAAGATGGAGAAATGGAGGTGAAGGGTCCAATTTGACCACACCTCATTGGGGGAGAGTGCTTTCTCCCCCAGTCTCCCCGTGGCCTCCCCTCCTGTCTCTCGATTTCTCTTTGGTGAGTGTACATGCCCTCTGGATTATAAAAACAACAACAAAAGGAAACAAACAATAAAATATGCATGAGTATTCAAATATACAGCATCCTCATTACACACACACACACACACACACACACACACACACACATACTATGCCAGAGGGTACATGCATATGCACGATAGAGAGAGAAAGAGAAAGCATCCCCAGTGGGGGTATGGGCACATAATACTTTTTCCTCCATTTCTCTCCCTTCAAAATCAAAATAATACGGGGCCAGCAGGTGGCATGGCTAAGGTACTGGACTCCCACATGGTCAACTGTGGTTCGAGTCCTGGACTTGGAGGCTTGCTTTCTCACTTTCCCACTCTCTGTCTCTTATCTGGTGAGTGCACATGCTCTACAACAAATCGGAAAATAATAATAATAAATAAAATAAAATAAATAATTCTTTAAAAAATCAAAATAATAGAAAAAAGACAAAGTAATTTAAATAAAATAAGATATTTTAATAATTTTATCTTTAATACTCACTTTATATTTTCCAAATAATGGGTGCCTGCCCCCAGTTATTAACATATCATCTTCACGATCAAGGACAAGACGAATGGGGTGGCCAGTTCTAAAAGAAACAAGTCTTAGATTCTCCATGCATCCTACCCATCCGTCCTCCACCCACCCATCTACTTATCTACCCATCCACCCACTGATTCACCCTTCCTTTAACTATCTACCCACTCATTCATCTATCCACCTATCTACCCATTCATCCACCATCCCACCCATCTATCCAAACATTCATTTAACCATCTAGCCATCCACCCGGCCGTCCTCCCCATCTGGATTTATTCATGGCACACAGTGTGGTAGGCACAGATGAGCATGACATATGACTAAACTGCTGTGGTCTCTGTGGACTATAACTCAATGGTCAAAGATCTAGCTAAGGAAACTATTGTAACATATCAGTTATGTTTTAACCTTATGGCTTCAAATTTGATCTTCATTCAGATATAGTTATTTAGCTTGTCTTCACTACTACATATAAGGAGGAACAGTGTGAACAGATAAACGCAAACTTTGCAATATTACAGAAAAACAAAGCCGAACACTCATCCTTGGATGTCTGAGTTACCACCTTCACTCTCAGTGGGAATGATACCATGCTGGCCAAGTTAGCCCTTTGGAAGCAATGAGCCTTACCCTTTCAGTATCTCTTGGGCAGAGGTTTCCAGAATTTGGAATGCAGAAGAATCATCTGGAGGGCTGGTGAAATGTATATTCCTGGGTCTTAGTAGTAGCATCCTGATTCAATAGGTTGGGGAGGGACGTAGAATCTGCATTTTTCTCAGTGACTCTGCTGCAGATGTCTTTAGCATATGTTGAAAATTGCTACTCTAGTGTGGGGTTTCTCAGTCTTCTTTAATGACGAGTACCACTTGGCACATTGGTTAAATGCATGGCCTCTAGCTCCATTGCCTGGTAATTGATTTGGTGGGGCTGGGATGGGGAGGCAGAAATTTTTATGACCTTAGGAGACTCTTAATAACAGGAACTTTGGGAACTGGCCTGACGATCCCTTCATGGATGGGCTTGTGTGCTTAGGCAGAGTTGGATCTAAGGCACTGGTTTTCATACCTGGTTTCTCAGCGCAACTGTTGAGGAAGTTTTAAAATATATTGATGCTTGGATGAGTGTGGGGCAGCCTAGGCCTTGGGTTTTTTGGAGAGGTTTTTGCTATAGGGTGCATGCACTCACCAGAGACAGAGAGTCAGAAAGCGAGAAATCACTCCCCCATGGGGGATGACCATGCCACAATCCCTTCTCCTCCATTCTCTCAGGATCTTGGGCACACATGCACACACACGCGGCCCGTGTGAGTTTAAGCCACTGGGTCTGGGACTTAAACTGCAGTCACATGGGAGTCCAGTGACAAAACCATTACGCCAACTGCTGGTCCTATGGCCTTGGGTTTTAAATGCACCCCAGGTGACTCTGCTGAGCATCACTTTGAGAAATCTTAAAGGTACACATATGGTGAGACTATACTGAACTGATTATTCCTTGCTGGGTTGCTGGTGGGTATGGACAGAGAGGGCTTAATTATGGATAGAACTAGAAATGGAATTAAATTCCTGCTTTTATTTTTGCTTCTCATTGAGGACTGAACCATGTCTGTGTGTTTTGAGGCCTAGCTGTCTACTACACAAAAGGCATCAAAAGTAGGACCCATGGACCCTGTGGATGATTTGAGCTCTGATGAAATACAAAAGAAACACCCATAGAAATGGAAAAAGTAGGGGGCCAGGTGCAGGAGTGAAATGTGATGTTCTGTGACGTAGTCCGACATGGGATGGCTCTTGGTTTGCATCTAGAGACCTCTTTAACTACATTGGCATGTGTGCATCTGAGGCTGGGGTGAATTGTGGCATCAAGACCCTGACAGGGTGCTGTATCTCTCTCTCTTATTCATGGAGGAAAAAAAATACACTCAGAAAAGGACAAGAAGAAATAAATATGTAACAGAAAAGCCAACACTAACTAAACACACATGCCTAGGTTTGAATAACAAAGAGGAGTGAACCTTCTGCTGAGGTCAGCCTGGGAGCTGTCTTTGAGAATGAGTCATCTGTTCATTCAATACACATGCAGAAGGCAGAGGACGGAGAGCCCATCCTTACCCCACCTTCTTTTGGGACTGAGAAGAGGAAGGAAAAGTCAAGGAGCTGCCTCCTTCTTTGCACTCCACTTGAGCAGGATGACTCGCCCTACCCTTCCATGGGTCACTTGTCCTGAAGCACAGGAATGAGGTAGACCCTGGAATACTTAAGTGATACTATCATTTTTCCTTTTTCTAGCGTATTATCTCATTCAAAGTCCTGTGTACACTGGACCTTTGCAGTAATTCTAAAAGGGCTAGAAGGTAGATATTGATATATTCATTTTATAATCATTTTATAAAGAAACAGAGATAGGCTGAATTGCCCAAGGACACAAATAGGGTCATAGCAGCAGCCCAAGTGACTCTCAGGCCACAGATTTGGCCCTCAGCTCTGCACATCTGACACCTGTCTGTATTCCCAAGTGTACTTACTTGACGGCACCCACAGCTGCAATCGCCCCAAATACAGCTGGCCTTCCTACTTTCCCTCCAAAACCTCCACCCACTCGTTTTACATGGCAGGTGATCCTGTTGATAGGGACGTTTAAAGTAGAGGACACTGTTTTCTGTAAGAATGAGATAATGGAAGGTTTATGAGTGAAATGGCAAAGAGCTTGTTGTTTCCTGAAACCCAACGTCAAAGCAGAATTCATTCATATCTACCATTGCTAAAATGATAGAGACAGTCAGAATCGGTCTCGTGGAGCTCTGGTTAGTTCATAAACATTGTTAATTTTTATGAAACAGCCCTCCCAGCAGAAAAATGGTATCTTCCAGAAGGGAACCTGTCAGAGCACTAGATTTCCTATCAGAAGCCAAATTCCTAGCTAAATGCTTAGAACCAAAGTCACAAGGAAGGAAAACCCTGCAACCTCTTGCTACAAAGTGATGTGTTGACTACAGTTTCTCTGTAACAATTTCCATAGAGAAAAATCAAGTACACAAATAATTTAGAGATGTCATCCAATCCCAGAGTTCATCTAAGCATGATGCAAATAAAAGTACTCTTTAAACCTAAAGTGATGGTGACTATTCCTTCTTTAAAAACTTTTTATTTTATTTTTTTAATCCCCAGAAGATGTGTGTGTGTGTGTGTGTGTGTGTGTGTGTGAGAGAGAGAGAGAGAGAGAGAGAGAAAGCAATCCCTGATAGGGCATGGTTACATTGCAATCCCTTCTCCTCTATTCCTCCATCCTGTCAGGATTTTGGGCATGCATACATATGTGCCTGATATGTTTTTCAAGCTGTTGGTACCAGGTTCCCCCCCCCTTCCTTTTTTTTGGAGAGGTTTTTGCTATAGGGCACATGCGCTCACCAGACAGAGAGAGACAGAGAGATAGAAAGCGAGAAATCACCCCCCAGGGGGGATGGCCACGCCGCAATCCCTTCTCCTCCATTCTCACGGGATCTTGGGCACGCACGCACATGTGCCCGGTGTGAGTTTAAGCCACCAGGTCTGGGACGTGAACTGCAGTCGACTACATGGGAGTCCAGCGACATAGCCATTACGCTAACTGCTGGTCCCAGGTTTTGAACTGCAGTTGGCTATGTGGGATCTGGATCCCTTAACTGCTAGGCTCCAAGTTGGCCCACTGCTATTCTTTCTTTTCTTTCTTTCTTTCTTTCTTTCTTTCTTTCTTTCTTTCTTTCTTTCTTTCATTTTTTAAAAAAAAGTATTATTAATTTAATTTATTGTTATTTTAAAATTTGCTATAGGGCATGTGTGCTCACCAGAGACAGAGAGAAAGTGAGAAAACAAGTCACCAGGTCCATGGTCAGCCATGTGGGAGTCCAGTACCTAAACCACCATGCCACCTGCTGGTCCCAACAGCTATTCTTATGTACTTGACAAGACCAGAGGAAATTAAAAGGTTCGGGGTTTGTAGCTATTCTATGGACATCTAATACTCAGATTGTAAGTTTCTGCAGATGAAATGGCTACCAACTGTGAGCTACAGGGATTGACCACCATGATGGAATTAGGGAGGCGGGAGGTAGGGGTGATCCTGGACCTTACCTGCACATGGGCTGGATCCTGTGTTGACACGTAAATGTCCAGTTCTTTGTCTTCAGTCTTTGGAATGACAAGCACTCTTTGTGTTTCCATGTAAAAATGTTCCTGTCCTCCAACATGTACCTCCCCTGTTAAGCACAAGCACAGAAAACTGTTAAAGGTGCATGCTGTTTGGAAGTCGCCATTTTGAGAATTCGAAAGCAAGTAACATGTGAACTAGGTGGTCTGGATTTGTCCTGATTAAGGAACCAGGCACTTGGCCTGGACTGAGAGCAATCTGTTTGAGACGATAGCTCTGGATAACAAGTCAAAAGTGCAAGGCTCTCTTCCTTACTCTCCCAGTGACTGACCACAATGTTAGGAATTTTTCTTTCATTTATTCTGTTGCTCTCTTCCCATCACCCACATCCACAAAATTTGAAAGGAAGAGGAATAAGGGAACTTTGGCTAAGAACCAAGACCTTAGAAGATGGTCTTTCTGAGGGGAAGTCAGGTGCTCATGATGTCTGCTTCAGAACACAATCAGGCAAAGTCTGTACATTATCCTGAGTAGCTTACCTTCAACAATTTGATCAGCTTTTTCAAATGCCTCCTCAATGTTTCCTTGTTCAAGTCTTTTTTCAGGGCATAGGAATGAATTGTGTTTTATGGCATCCTGAATGACAGGGAGAAAACATAAAGACCAGATTTTACTTTTTCTTCCATTGGCAATGTTTTTAAAAACAAAAGCCAGTACATTCCTGAAATTACTGTCTCCTGAGATGTGGGAAAGAGGCCAAGCAAGGAAGGGTGTATAAGGTAGCAGGTACTCTGCAGAGATGAGACGTCTGAGGGTGTGTCTTCTAGGAATAGTTTTGCAGAGAAAACCATCCAGAAGGAATAGTGCGGAGAAGATCCTTCATGGCTCCTGCAAAACAGTCATTTCAGGATACAAGAGAAATGAAGATTTTCTACTGATAATTCAGCCCCCAGCAAACAAGCTTGCGTGGCAGGAGAGGTGAACCTTTCAGGAGAAGATCCCTCATGGCTCCTGAGAAATAGTCATTTCAGGACTGAACTTCAAGAATTAGAAAGAAACACACCATCCATCAAATGTCTAGAAAGCACCGTAAGACTACAAGAAATATGGAAAAGCAAGAAAATACCTCTCCTCCAAGGGAAAAGAATAACTCTTCTTCATCCACAAGCAGTTCAATGGAAATCATGGAAATGTCTGATAAAGAATTTAGAACATTCATAATGGAGAAGCTAACAGAGATGGAAGAGAAAAGAGACAATGAATTGCTGAAGGGAAAGGAGAAAGAAGTTGATGAGTTCCAGGAGGTGAGGAAATTCTTGCAAGATCTAAAAGAAGAATTACACACTTTAAAAAAGAATCAAACGAAACTGTTAAGAGATGAAGACTATTATACAGAAAGTCAAAATCTCCCTTGAAAGTATTAAAAGCAGACTATATCATACAGAAAATAGAATCTCAGACATAGAAGAGAAAATTGCTGGCCTAGAAAAATCCACCACAAAGACTGAGAAAATT